TTCTCTCCATTAATTATACGTCAAACTCAAAGTTAAATTAATTAATCTGGACATTTTGATCTTCTAGGAGGTGAAGATTTCGTTTAGTTTAATAATCTTGTTGTGTTTAATTCAGGTATAATGGTATATGATCTACTTGCTGACACCTTGCGTGTTTAAAATCCTTTGATTATTGTTCCATTCAAGTATCGTTGTCAGGGTACGCGCAACGGCAAGAACCCTGGTAGAAAATATTTAGCAGCAGGCGTTGTCCTCGCTTCAATCATCATATTTCCACCTTTTGTTTGAAAAAAAGTCTGGAGCAAATGCTTGCACTGCATATCAACTAGGAAATTTTTCGCTCTAGACATTAGCTTTGCAATGTTTAGAGCGAAAAGTAAGTGCTTCAATATGCAAAATATTTGTAGCTAATCAAAACTGCGGAGAAAACAAGCCTTAATGCTAATATATTTTCTATTGTACATAAAGAATGGTCGTTGGGAATATAGATTTAGCAAGTCTATAGATGTGGCAGAAAGTAAGTTGTCAAAATAGAAAACTTGCACTATTTTCTTCCCAGAAATCTGTCACCCCAAATGCTTATCGACCTCGATTTACTTTTATTTGAAGGTCAACTATTGCTCGTTTACATTAACTATCAACAACAGGAAATGTCAGGGCTGCCCAAACTTTTGGTTCAAAATCACATACTTGTTTAATTTTATTAACCTATGTTATAAAAGCTGATGTAATGGTATGTCATTGGCAATCTTGCCCACATAGTAATTTGGCGAGAAGCTCTATAATCTACGAAGACCGAAGAAGAGGCATCCCAGCTTACTGCACATCATATTATGAAAAGTTTTTCACCCATTTTTCCTCCTAAATCGTTCTTTTTCCCCTTTTTATTTCTCAAAACAACCTCAACGAGTTTATAAACTTCATCATAGCAGGAATAACGGCATAATTCGCCATGGTGAGAAGTAGCTTACAAATCGTTTTCGCTGTTATCCTTTTTTTCCATTATTCATGTTTTTGGGAAGTATAGGGACTTTTTCAACCTATTAGCTTCAGCAGTAGATCACTAGAAAATCTGAATCTGTTTTTTCTAGAATTGGGAGCAAGAAACGCGCTAGATTTTTTATTTGGCGATACATTTTGATGCTGTTATAGGTTTCTTACATCAAGTATGGGCAGGTTTAGTTTTCAATTCTCATTTTTCTCATATATTTTGGGGTTGCTTTAGCTATGAAGTCGTTGGCAGGATAAGGGAAGGAACCTGTATTCTCTTAAAATCGACGTCAAACGAGAGTTCGGCGGAACGAGCTTTCACAGAATGATAAAGTGACTGTTTCGGCAGGTTAAGCAGAGGTCGACGAGTCGATTCTCCCCGGTTGGGTGACGTATTTGGCACACGTTGTACGTCGCAAACACGTCTTTTGCGTTCCATTGGCAATACATTTCTTAAGTCTGCAGTGCATGTTCAATCTCATTAGTTTTTGATCAGAACAATAATATCGTTAATGACTGTTTCCAGAAAGACGCGCAGCTGTTTATGACGTGGATTGTGCTGTTTACGTTCTTCACAATTACGTTTCATGTGGAAGGTAAGGCACAGAGTTTCGCAACCATAAGGGTATTAGTCCAAAATTGGCTCTTTTTCTCACTATTTCAGGTACTCTTAGCGATAGGGATTATTTAACCAGAGCAGCGTGCCAGCGTAATCCCAATTTGACTTTGTGCAAAAAGGAGACAGAGATCAGAGAGAATCCGCGTAAGATGTTTGACTTTCTTTAGCAAATGTTACCATCAACGCTACAACCTTGACACTGCAATATTATCAGGTTGCCTTAGTCTGTTAGCAATAGAGATTATTGTTTTACTGTAGTTCTTATGTAGTCGAGCATATTCGTTCGCTGCCCTTGTCAGAATTTCAACGCACCCAGGAGATGCTACCAAATTGAAACAAGTAGCGTAGGACTGCTATGTTTCGCTGAATATATTTTCTTTAGTTTCATTGCACCTGGACCTGAAGTGCTGAGCACTCATACTTGAGCAATAAAATGTTTTGATAATATCTGTTGTATATATCTGCGGCAAGTTCATTGGATCAATTCTTAAGACCTCATTGTAAGATGAGGAAACGCGAAAAACCTATCCAAACTTACTTTGCGCCAAACAAATGATGAACAATAGCTCCTTCTGCATTGACTCACTTTCTTCAATCACGATGGAAAAGTCACATGCACATAGCCACTTCCTCACGTAATCGTAAACAAAAATGACGGACGACCAATATACCCAGCAGAAAACCTATAAAGTAACAGCTACAAGTGCGATATCATCCAAAAAATTCTGTTATGGTGTATGTCTCCACTAAGTTTCCGATCCTTGCGCATCAAGGCCATTCGATCAGACGAAAACATGGAATTGACCTCTATTCGCATATATCGCTAATTACGGTTACAGGAAAGAAGGCGAAAGTGATTTATTCGATAGAATTTTGTTTATCGTTCTCTGTAAAGAGGAAAATTTTACAATCGACATAGCAGTAGAAGATTGTTTTCCTTATTTGAAGACCTTGGTACATTTTCTGACATTTCAGTCATCGAACCACCACCGATACCTATTAGTAAGCGACAACAAGATCATGGAAAGCCTTCAGGAGTGCAGCGTGAACGCGATGATCTCGGTGAGCTGAATAAACAAGTAATAGTGGAGCACCAGTATCAAAAAGAGGTTCAATCATTTTCGCTTTCCATACAATCAGAGATTTAACGAATTCGTTTGAGAATCCATCTGAAGACGAGTTGTTACGGACCAAATGCATTCGAATAGCTCCAACAGCTCAAAAGGTTTTTTTTCATCTACAATTTGCGATACACTTATATTTCTGTAAACTACTGAATGAGAAAAAAATGAGATGAAAAACCAGGGATTAGAAATTCTATCATGAATAAATTTCCAAAGAAATAAGCTTTCGAATAGGAAAATGGCTATAACTCGACTAACCGATTCATTTAGCATTGTGAAAAATCGGCCTTGACAAAAGCCAACGTTAAGCGCTGCGCCGCTTATTTCAAGGACTGCTACAGATTTCTTGAAAAGGCCGATCCACTGTATGGTATTGCAAATGCATTCAGTTCTGCTGTCAGTATTCCAGTCCCTTTGCAAAATTAACTACTTATTTGAGATCCTTAATTATTCAGGTTAACATTAATTTTGCTACAGTCGATGTTAACGGAATACCATACTATCCTATCAATGAGGAAGGAGGAGTAGGAGTGGGAGTTCAATCGCATATCCCGTTTGGATCGTGGGGAGGAGGATACTCCGATCATGTTGGAGTACGGTGAGCTTTCTGATACGAATCTGTCAGTTCAGTGCATCCTTGGTTACACTGTGTGATGCAATGTATACAGTGGTCCTGAGTCAAGGTAGACCATCGTTATGTTAAATGCCTTGTTGAGAGTGAGCAGAAGTCTTGGCCTTGCTCTATCCACTCATAAGCGACCGCCCTATATTAGCTTTAAGCTTAGAGTAAAGCAAGCAAATCAAGTTGTTTCAGGAATCACTTCTGCAACTAGAAGGAGATGGAACCTTTGAAATTTGTTTGTTATCTAAAAAGTTAAATGGTTATCTCACTAGCATCCATCTAATTAATGCTATCTCTGAAATTTTAATGCGAAACATCTTATGAATATGTTTAAAAGGGCCATCAATTCCGTACTTTAGTGACTACTGGTCCCAACATCAAGAAGTTGGTGCTAATTGGTACGATGGGAAATATGGCTATAAAAACGGATGGTCTGTTCCGCTGGTTCAGTCGCTAGGAGTAGAAGGAGGACAACACAACACAGTGTCCGTGCCTTTGACACAAAAGGACCTAGGGAAAGTTATGGTGGACAACGGATATGGAGTAATCAAATTTCACTTTCTTTGAATCACGGAAATTTGCAAAGCAAGGTTAAAATTATGACTTTAACATTCTTAGGTCGGCGGCTATTATGGCCATAATGACCATGTGGGAGTTGATTGGAAAAAAGGAGATGTCTTGCACAACTTTGGGGTTTCATCTCCATTCGTCGGAGCAGGGTTCAACACAGGACAAGCAGTCACGTTCCCGAGTCTAGAGACGTTTATGAACGCCGGTAGGAAGTGATAGGAACATTCTGATTG